ATGTATGTGTACAAACTAAGCTTTAGATGTGCTCGAGGGTGAATTGGGCCCGTTTACTTCCGGTTTCCTTTGTGCTCAGATAAACAGACTAACAGAAGTCAGTCTTCTTCTCATCTCTACAAACTTCCAGAATAAATAATTTCTAAACCTTAGTGTTCCAACAAGTGACAAACTTCACTCTGATAATGTTTTGTTTTACATTAGATACATGAATAATTAGTAAATTATTACTGGGTCCTTAACGGTAATTTTTCTGACATTTTGTCTCATATTTTGTCATGATGTGCGTCTCTCATTCGAGAAAGATAAAATTTTAGAGGAACTGAACAAGTCCTCCCCGTGTTCCTCCACTGACTCATGGAGTCCAGGCACTTCTTATGATAAAAAATTTTACATCTGAGGCAATTTTAACAGAAAGATAATTAAAAACAAATGTTTAAAATTACTCATTAAAATAGATGTCATGAGAAACAGACTTTTAACAGACCACACAAACTATGTTTCTTTCCTAACTCAAGTTAAAGTATTGGGTGATGCATCGGTACAAAAAACAGGTGACTGGAGGAATTTGCCTTCAGCTGTTTGAAGCTTCAGAGACCTTTCCCATCACCTCACATTCTCCTCCGCGCACTGTGAGCGAGCCAACTCGGTAACATAATCTGAAAGTAAAGTGCACTTCACCTGTCTGCCATGTACGCTCGCATGCTTCAAAATAAGCACAATAAGATTGATAGGTTCCACTCTCCCTCTGACCTGAAGGCAGAGCCCAGCTCGGAGCTGGTTGTTGAGTCCTTGTTCCTTTCGAAGCAGAGGGAAACAAATAGTGTTCAGATGTTGCAGGTTCTTAAAACTACTGCAGCCGAGTGACGGAGAACCTGCTAAAACCACAGCAATACAGCTGGCGTTCACGAAACCATTCAGAAAAAAAATGATACAAGTGTTTGCACTTGTAATTGTCTTTGTGCAAAGTGTCGGATTCTTTTAAGTCCGTTTCGACGACAACGTCAGAGAAGGAAGCTCGTGTTCCCTCATCGAGGACCTCGGAGTCTCTGATGTAGGTTTCAGCTCTCCAGCGAGATTTCTGTGCACGTTCACAGTTCCTCTTCTCTCTGGGCTACCTGATTCGCCCATTACTTTTGACTGGACCCAGTTCGGACTTTGGGTCTGGAGACAACGAGCTCCAGGTGGTCTTGGAGCAAGACCTTAAAGCTGCACAAGATGAGGTCTTTGTGGTGCACAGTTCACCTATAACCCAGTAGGTTCCCACAAGGCTGTCCAGCCAGGCCTCAAGGGACTGGCCCACCAGCTGAGCGTTACGCTGGGCCGCCTGCACAGCGGGCTGCTGGGGGGGCAGCTTCAGCACGGAGCCCAGCTGCTGGAAGCTCTGGTCCAGGTACAAGTTACCTGGAGGGCCTGAATGGAGCCAGCTGTCCTCGTCTGGGAGACAAAAATTAAAAAAGACGCTGCTAAAATACAAACTTTTACATTCATCTCATGTTAAGCACTTTACATTCTTAAAAACAGACAAAAACATTTCCTGTAAAACACTCAAACTAATCATAAACGGAGCTCAAAAATAACCACCTGAGAAAATAAAGTTTTTAAAATACAACAGCTGAAAGAAAAAGGTATTTACAACTAAAGAGTATTTTAAAATGAAGTATTAAAAAAAGTCAAATATCCTTTAACAGATACATGCAGTTTATCAAATATAGCTGTTTTAGTGTTTACAGGTTTTGGAGATCTTTCTGCTGCTTGCTGCTGTTTTCTAATGAAGCTGAAGTATTTTAAGAATCCACTCAGGCTGAAACACACCAGAAGTTCACAATGTTTCCTTCTTCATTTATCACTAAACCCGCAGGGCGTTATATTTTCTTTCCAATTTCCGTATGTTGTTTTAGTTGATTTGTTTGTTTTCAGCATTAGACTGTTCTAATTATCTAAAAGCATTTTTTCCCCAAGACTCTAAAAAATGTGACTTTATATTTCTCTTTTCTTGTTTGCTCAGCTTTATTTTAAATGAGGCCTCTACTGTGATTATTTTAATTTTAGAATAAATAAAAGGTTAAACGTCTGTGAATAACCTTAAATACACACATTAGCAACAAAAAGTCTGCAGCTGATTAAAAAAAATAGTCATAATAATTATTTTTTGTACGTAAACTCAATATAAACAACCACAAATGGATCCACGCCTCACCTTTACGTAACGGCTCCTTGTTACTAAAAGTTAACGGCATGACGAGGAAGCGGACTTCAGCTATGAGCGTCCATTGTTTCAGTATCCGCACCGTCCACGTGCCGGGCCGCAGGGGGTGCTGCAGAGGCGGCTTGTACTGCGTGTACTCTGCGTCCACATCCACAGTAATGTCGTAAGACACGGCCACCACCAGAGCTGGGTCGATCCATACAACCGTGGCCGTGAGATTCGGCCCACGGGCCCACTTCTGGACTGCCAGGGGTTCATCCAGTGGGCCAACGATGCCACCAAAGTTACGGAAGATCCTTTCTTTGGGATCCCACTCTGTTCCGATCTGCCAGGAGAAAGGAAACAAGACTTTTTAATTTGCAGCATATTTTTCTTTAATAAATTTAATTAGAGAAATTGCATTTCCTGTGAAAATGCAGTATGAATGCTTATTGCAGAAGAACTTGCTGAAAAACTGCTGAAATTAGCTAAAAATACATGCTGAAATGTAGCTGAAATGGAACAAGCCTAAGTTAGTAGAAGAAAGCAGAAAGAACAAATATTTGCTTAATTAGATTTGAATAAACAGAAATTAGCATAAAAATGAGAAAATTAGCTTAAAACCCCCAGAAATTAGCAAAAAGTAGCTGAAAAGGTATAAAGAAGCTTAAACTACCAGAAGGAAACAAAAAGAGTTGAAATGAGCCCCAAAAATGTGGAATTAGCTGAAAAATATTAAATTAGCAAAAAAAAACCAAAAAAAAAAAACCCAGCTAAATAAAAACTGAAAGCAGCAGAAATAACTTGAAAGGAGCATAACCAGCTTAAATTAGTAAAGAAAAATTAATTTGACTGAAAGTAGCAGAAATAACCACAAAAAACTTGAATTTATCTGAAAAAAGCTGAAATTACCAGTAGCTAAAAATATGCTAAAAAGGGTAGCTAAAAAGGTAGAAGCTTAAATTAGCACAAGAATGCAGAAAGAACACATGGTTGCCCAATTAGGCTGAAAGAAGCAGAAATGAGCACAAAAAATTGGAAATTATCTGAAAAAAAAAGGCAGAAATTAAAAAAACAAAACAAAGCAAAACAAAACGGCTTAAAAATAGTTAAAAGGTAAAAAGAAGCTTTAATTACCAGAAGGAAGTGGAAAGAACACATTTTTGCTGAATTTAGCTGATTTATTTTTAAATGAGTGTAAAAAATGTGGAATTGGCAGGAAAAAAGCTAACATTAGCATAAAAACAGCTAAATAGTAGCTGTAATTGCAGAAAAGGCTGAAACTTGCATAAATAAGCTGAAAAGAGCATAATAAACTGAAATAAGCAGAAATAAATAAGAAGAAGCACAAAAAATGTTGTAGTTAGCAGAAAGAATCTGAAAGGAGCACAAAACAGCTGAAAGCAGCTGAGAAAATGTTTAAATTTGCACAAGGAAGCTGAAAGAAGCTGAACCAGAACAAAATGTGAACGGAGCAGTAAAAGGTTGTAAACACATCTAAAGATATGAAAAATGAGCTCAATTCATTTTCTATGAGAAAAAAATGACAGAAAAAGATAAATATTTCAAAAAGCTAAAGTTGCACCAATACAAAAAGTCATAGCAATTTTCTCCCGAACGTTTTGATTAATGATTTGTTGAAATAGCTCAAAAATTGTGGAACGAGAAAGATGCAGAAAAAAGTACAAAAGAAAAAAAGGATCACAATAGTGTGAATGTTTCATAAACGTTCACACAAATAAACTGTAGCATCAATTTATGGTTCAAAGTTAAATGATCCTGAAAGCTACACAGATTTTTTTTAATCCACATCAGACATAAAATCTCATCTTCTATCAGCTTCAGAGTTCTGTAGTATCACATGTTGGTGATTATTCTCTGAGAAAGCTTACTTCCAGGTTCTTGAGCCTCTCAAACTCTTTAAGGTTTGTCTCGAGGACCAGCGCAGACTGAGGGACGGCCCACAGCTCTAACGTCCCTCTGTCCTTCGCCTCTGCAGCCTGGACCTCCTGACGGATCAGGTAGCCCTGGAAACGGTCGTCATAAAAGTACAAATGTACAGAGAGAGGGTAGCCCACTGGTTCAAATCTGTAGAGAATAAAACAAATAAATCACACACACAAAAAACATTGTTTATATTATTTTAAAAAAGAATAAACAAACCTGCAGGTCTTTGTGTTGCTCTGTGTGGACCTCAGATTCTTGAGGGCCAAACGGAGGAAGGAGGTGTAAGCAGTGAGAGCCACGTCACTGAGGGAGCCCACACCGTCCGACAGCTCAAACACGCTCTCCCAGTAAGCCTTGAGGGCAACGGTTCCTGGTGCGTACTGACCATACAGGTGCGTGTCCAGGATGTCTATAGCCTCCTGGTTCACCGTCGACTCAAACTTGCGAGCAAAGAATGTCGGACGGGATAATTGCTACAGAAGAATATAAAGAAACGGCATAAAAATGTAGTTTTTTATGATACTTAACGCTGTTGGTGATAAAACGTGAGCCTGGCAGGCTAGGAGTAAGAAGAGAGCACAAAGAAATAAAAATAAAATCAGACAGTGCCCTCTTCTGGTCCACCGACCTGAATTCGAATGAGATCTTGTGGTTTAAAATCGTTGGGAGAGCAGCCGCACCAGTCGACGATGTGCTTGTACTGACATTTACAGCCCAGCTTGCGATTCCAGTTAGTGACTCGCAGGTTATTGTCCACCAGGGTGTCGCACATGTCGCTGTTCCCGAGCACCGTGTGGAAGAAGGACTGCGAAGAAAACAAATACAGCATTTCAGCGTGGTGCGCTCCCAAAGACCTGAACAAACAGTTTACAACAGGCTCTTATTTTATAAAAAAGACTGGAGCGCTACAGCAGTGAACAGGCTGCAGCTCCTCCACTCACACCAAACTGTGGAGATGAACTGGAATGAACCGTCCTCTCACCGGCTCCACACTGTGCTGCAGCGCCTGAAGTCTTACATTAACGCTGCAGCTCGGCTCTTAAACCTGACAGAGAAGGACGAGCCTGACACACCTCGTGCGGTTTCTCTCGACTATAGGAAATAGATGAAAAGACCTCCTGATGCTTTCTTACCTCAGCAGGGAGCAGAGCGTAGGAATAAAACTGCTTCAGCCCCGACACCAGCTTGTCCTGGGAGTTGATGACGTACTCAACGAAGCGACGGGTGAGAGCAAACCAGTCGGAACCACCGGAGACCTCCAGGCCTTCGGGGATGCTGCGCTCGCCGAGACGCCACATGTGGTTGTCGCACTCGTGGAAGAGACGGTCGAGGCCCTGCTTCTTAATGAACCTTGCACGCAGAACACAAAGCCATTGTGCTTTTGTTCACAGCATTTGTGAAAGCAAACGATCAAATGATGCATCTATGAACACAACATCCTGGCTGTGTGTTCTGGCAGGTTGTTTATCCTAAAGCTGGCATCCTCACCTGGCATTCTCTCTGCCGTGGGACTTGAGGAAGTTCTTGTCTCTGTGCAACGACAGAAACGCCACCAGTTCATCGTTGGTCCTGCAGGGGGAAATTAAAGATTCAGCAAAGCAATAAAACCCATGCCTTGGAGATTCCTTTAAATAAAACAACAGCTTAAGTGCTTTTTGACTGCAATCAGCTCCTTCGGAAAGGATTTAGGACAAGCTTGTCTCTTTGAAACAGATAAATGGAAGCTAATATGCCTTGGGATGGCTCAGGTGGACCAGGGCGCCAAAGCTGGCCCAGAAAGCCTGTTAACAAAATCAACTTAACAGCCAGCTCTGTCACAGGGTTTCTATAGCAACACCTTAACTGTAACAGTCTAAACAAACTACTGCTGGACAGAACTTTAGAAACTTAAGACTGAAGACACTAAGAAAAGAGACACAGATTAGGGATGCACAATATTATCGGCATGGGATCGGCTGATATTAGCGATAAAGTTAAATATCGGACATGAGCCATTATATATGGTGCTGTTTTTGTACGACAACCCAGTAACAAGAATGCCTGCAGTGCCGGCACAACGTGATGGCGTCACGCGTGCCGTTGAGTTTAGATTTGTGAAAATTTACAAATTTGCACTGTTCGAGTGTTGCCATTGTTAGAGAGTAAATGTCATGAATAAATTTGACATTAAACATAATCCAAGATGAATCATTACATAATTTTCAGCTCATATTTTTGGCATTTGCATTTGGTAGCAGTTCAAATTGACAAAGACCATGCAGAATAATGTAGTATTTTAATTCCACAGCACAGAAAACTTTGTAGTCTCTGTAAGTAAGTCTAGGGGGAAAATATCGGTATTGGTTATTGGTCAAATACGTTTTAACATCTTGGTATATGAGATATCGGCCAACAATCCAATATCGTGCATCCCTAACACATACGGTTAAATAAAGTGTACTAAACACAAAAGTGGGGTGTTTTATGTTTCACCAGTGGGAATATCATCACAAACTCTCCTGTACACGTCTGACTGACCTAGTTGGGAAGTCTGTGGCGCTGAGATTGATGAAGAAGTCCCACTTCCAGTCCTGCATGGCCAGCAGGTCCTGCATGCTGTGTAGGTAAGCCTTCAGGAGGCTGGCTCCTCCCCAGATGGTGACCATCCGCCATGGGGTGGCTCGTATGTTCGGGTACTGCTCAGCTATCTGCAGCACCTCTCGATGCATGTAGCCAGACCGCTGGAGGAGTTTAAAACCAAGAGTCATTTAATGAGTTTAATGAATGAAAAGCTGCTTCCGAGCTACAACTATAAACTAAATTTAGTTTCTGCAAGATGGTTCCTGTGGATTTGAAGCTGCCACTTTGCCAAAGCAGATCAAAGCTGGCTGGTCTTGAAAGAGAATTTGATCTGAGAAGAACAACAACCACATGGTGGGAGTCACTGTGATAAGAAAAAGGGAGGGGAGGAAATGCAGCTTCTTTTCACTATTTTAAGTTCAGCTTGACAGAAACACAAAAATCAATTTCTAAAGTAGAGATTAAACTAAAAAAATGGACATAAGACATTATCTAATCACAACTTTTAAGTTTTAGACAATGAAATTAAAGCCGAGTATACATGTGTATGTGTTACAAGTGACTGAAGGATAAGCCAAAACAGCAATTTCAAAATAATATATTTTTCATTTCCATCTTGGAAAATAATTAAGACTAATTACAAAGCAGCTTGTTTCCATAAAACAAGTCTCACGGTGATAAATGAGCAGTTTAATTGAAACAGACATTTGAAAATAAATTGTTTAGGAACATTAAGTCCAACCTTTTTAGGTGGGAAACAAACAGTGTGCAATGAATCTGGCCGGTATACGGAGCTCAGAAAATCTGGATTTTCTTTTAGAACAAGAGCATAAAGTCTATACAAGTAAATGTGGTTAACATGTCTGCATTTAGAAAAATCCCTGCTCCGTCTTCACCCGTTCAGAGGAATAACAGAGGTTGGATGATAAAGCATAGAGCAGCCATGAGACTGAATATAACCTGTCCTGTTTCTGAGCCTCATTCCTCAAACATGGGAAGAAAGAGGAGCAAAGACCAGCGGAGCGGCTAAAACTGCGCCTGGGATTTGACCGTTTAGTATTGTTCATCTTTCCCTCCGATGAGCTGCTCTGCTGTCCCTCTGAGAGCAGAACAGAACTCAGCAGGACTCAAACACCTTTCCAGCTCCAGCAGGATCATTACTTACAGAAACCTAGGGTGCATTCACACCAGCCTTGTTTAGTCCGCTTTAATCGAACTCTAGTCTGTTTGCCTAGAAAGTCTGGTTCATTTGGGGAGGTGTGAATGCGCAATTAAACTCTGATGCGGACCAAAAAAGCAAACTCTGGTCTGCCTAAATACCTAGGTCTTTGTCCAGTTGAAGTGAACTCTAGCGCAGTTCAAATGCATTGTGAATGCAAGCGGAGCGGAGACTGCTCCAAAAGCAGGAAGTGGACTACAACACAGGGCATTCTGTGTAAATACAAAAAAAAAAAAAAAAAAAACATGCATTTCTCATACTTCATAAAGAGCCACCAGCCGCTTTGTGTGAAAAACAACATTCTCCATGGTCTTCTGCCTCATCTTCCACTCATGCTGAGTTCATTGTTGAAAAATGTCTGTTTGGCACATGTGCCACAGACAAAAAAGAAATCCTAAAACCGCTAAAATTTGACGCCACTCCATTTTTGTTTATATTTCCAGAAGAAGCAGAAGAAGAGTGTCTTCTTCAGAGGTTTTTGTTTAGTTTCCTTCAGTAGTTCTTGGTGCAGCGCCACCACAGGTGAGGGGTGGAACAGGTTGGCTCGACTGACTCAATGCAGTGTGAACCACACCAGCTGAAGATGTAAACAAATTTTCAGAATTTTGGTCCCCAATCGAATCGAGTCTACCGGACAATCAGGTGTGAAAACGACCCTAAACTCGCCTCTGCTCGGACACACAAGTGTCTTTCGCCTTGGAGCTAAACACAACAGCAATCTTTCCACTACTAAATCCAGTCCCAAAATATAACCACACATACAGGCTCATCTCCTTTTAACACACACTATGAGAAGTGAAGAGCCAACTCCTTCAAAGTTTAGTGTATTCAGTTCTCCAGAGACAAAGAACATGAAAACCATCTTTATAACCAGATGTGGCCTGTGAGCAGAGGCTGCTGCAGTACCTTGTCTACATGGATGTAGTAATAGTGGTCTCGGTGATATAAGGCTTTGATGAGACGTTTGAGCTGGCGAACAGAACGGCCGTGGACCATCAGAACAAAAGCCACCCTGACAGGATTCTCCACCTTGGCCAGGCTGAAATCCTCTTCTCCGGCAGTCTGAACTGGCAGTGATACCCCTAGATAAGAAAAGACATGAAGCACTAAGTTTTGTAGCGTTATTGACTGAGTATAGGTTAAAAACTTTAATAGCATTCTCACCAATTTGGGGACAGAACTGAGGGAGAATGTCCGGCATGAGTTGTCCAGCCTGATGCTGGCACACAATGTTGGCTATTTCCTGTCTACAATGCTGTGACGCAGCGCGGTGGAGGGCCGACAGAGCGTCCTTGCCTTCAATGTTGCATTTGGGCACAAAGTCAGTGTTGGGAGTTTGGTGCGCGCCGTCCACGCTGCCCGGCTCCCCAGGTAAGAAGGCAGCTGGTACTTTAGCGGCTCCGTCCACTCCACCGCGGCTCTCGCTGAAGTTTCGGCTGCTCGACAGATCGTGCGGGACTCCCTCTAGTCCTGCTGCCATCATCCCGCGCTCCTGCGAACTCTTCTGTCTGAAGATCCTAGCGTTTCCTCCTCGGCGGCTGTTCCCTTTCCTCTGAGCGCTGGCGGCTGTGCCCCCCGTCCTCTCGAACCTGGTGCCCCATCTGCCCCTGTTCCTCCCAGACAAAGAATTTGCCTTTTCCCAAAGTGAGCTGTCTCTCTTAGAGTCCTGACTGTTGTGGTCAGGGAGCTTTGACCGTCTTGTTTTTCTCTGCAGAAGAAGAAAAGCAAATTATTTATATATTTATTCATTTTAAATCTAGATTCATTATCAGCAATCTTAAAAAAACATGCTTAATGAGCATTAAAGAGGGAAGGTGTTGATTCATAACTCAAAAGAAAAAAAAATTAACAAAGACCTCTGTCATGTTATGGCAGCAGCAGGATAAAACCCACAGGGAAGGATGTGTTTACTTTGGAGGGGAGGGGGGGTTGTTCTTCCTTTTTTCTCTCATCTGGGTTATTTTTAGCTCTGCCTCTGTCTTTTCGTGGTGCTAATCTGCTAAACTGGTTGGTCACACATATTCAAAACTAATCCAGTGATTCATCCTGAGGACCACAACAAAACTGCTCACTTCTCTCTGGCAAAAGAGAAACCGCAGGTAAAATACAGACGTAGATGTAGGTCAAGAGTGCAAAAGGCTTTCATGCACACAGTGTTTGTAAATTATTTTACTACTATAATATGCAAACCATTACCATACAGTTTAAATAAATAGATGTAACCATATTGTTTTACACAAGTGCCTGAGTTAGGGATATTTATGATTAAATTTAAGTCTCAAAGTCATGTTTTGAGATTTGGTCTAAAGCAGAAAAAGTGAACAAATGTGTCTCAAGTGCAGAAAACATGCATACTTCCACAAATAGCAAGTGTTCCTTAAAAATAAGCAAAGAAAAACTGATTTCAAGCTATTTCAGTCAAACAGTATCACAGCTTTAGCAAACTAGATTATTGGCTTGCTCAAACAATTCTTGAAAATATGCAAGTATTAAAAAAAGAGAGGGAGGAACAGTTAGCGGGCTGAGAGATCCCTGCCTCTTTAAAGCAACATGGCCAAACGTGGACGCCCTCGCCTCACATCGCTGACATGCAGACAGCCCAGACATGATGGGAGCAGAGGAAGAAATGGGACTGTGTGGTTGGACTGGGAGCCAGATGACCCACTGCCAGCACATCAGCTGCCAACCAACACAGAACCATCAGCTCCTGTTGAACGGAGCGCCCCTCAAACCCGTTATAGTCAGAGGCATTGTGGAGCAGTTACACATGCATGACCCACGCTGGCAAAATGAGTCAGAATAAGCACAGGCTGCAATGCAAAATAAATAATAAATCAACCCTCCTAATCTACCTGTAAATTGAAGGTTTCTAACAAGTATGTCTCTATAAATAATACCTTATAACCCTTGTAATTTCCTTTGAAACTGACTATTTTTCTCTGCTGGCTGGCATAGTGCTGGGAAATCCCTCCATATAATGTTTGGCATCATTGTTAATCATCAATATTTCCCTTTTAAATATAGGGTTGATCAGACTAATAAATATGCCTGTCACGATAACAAATGTTGCTGGGCGATTAATTGTCTCAGAAATTATTGTGATAAACGATAATATTGCTTGAAATTTTACAATAATTCGTAACTGTCAAATTTAATAAGTAATGTTGGTTAATGTTTGTGTAGTACTTTTTTTGGACCACCAGGTGGCAGTATAAGACTGAACAGAAGGATGGATAGTGAGGGAGGGAGGCCACTTGACGTGACATGGGCTGTCTCTCGTTCCTGTTTTTCGGTTCTCAAAATGGCGGACGCTCGGTGTGGTTTAAGCTCTTTAGCATAGCATTTTTCTCACAAAGCTTTCAGCAAAAAAATCCGTAAACAAGTTCTCAGCTTATTTTTACAGAGAAAAACTTTTTACATGAAGGCACGGGTTTCAACCGTGAACTTTGGAGCTTCGACAAGACGGAGGTTTTTCTCCCCGAGGTAGGTCTGTTAGCTTAGCTTCTCAACATGGCTGCTTTTAACAATCCAAAAACGTGATTTTGGATTGTTAAAATGGATTTTAAAGAGAAAGAGAGGGGTCAGTGAAGAGCACCGGAGTTGAGCCTTTTGTCATCCAGTGTCTTCAGCAGAAAGAGAGAGACACGAAGAAACGATAAAGCCGATAAATGAAAATGAGGTCGATAATTTTCATTTATCATGTGATTAATTGATTTATTGGTTATTACGACAGGCTTACTAATAAAAACTAACTTTGAAAAACTCTCAAACAAAACTAGCTTGTTACCAGGTCAGGTGATAAATGATCAAATTATAACATTTCCATCCTTTTGATGTTTTTGAGATGGAAAATTTGAACTTTATAACTCAACGTTAAATCATTCCTCATAGTGACTCATTGTACCAGCACTGGTCACACATTTAAAACTAACAAGAACAAGTTCACCTCTTGGTAAACAAACCCAGTTTCTTAGTCTTAATATATGTTATTTCTATACTTCAGTGTGAGGTTGATAAATTAGTTTAGTAATTGGGAATTGTTAATAATTAGGAAATTAGGTCCTAAAGCTTTCACTTTTAAAAATAAGTGGTGCACTGCTTTTGTGCATCGCTTTGTCAGCTAAGACTTATGTGAAAACTCTTCAGTCTTTATCCAGCAGATGAAACGATCTTGTACACAAGCCAAGCATGCAGCTTTGGCCAAAATTTCAATTATCCTTATCACTGGCCTTCACAGCTTTTAATTAAAATTGTCATGTCAAAAATATATATACATAATATATATCAATTCAAATGCGATTTCCAATTAAAAGTAGAGTGAAACCATATCAGTGTCACACTCGACTGAAGTGGAAATCGGCGACGAGAGGGTGAGAAGGATGGTACGAGGATGACAACGAGTCGTTTTCTGTCCCCGCAAGATTTCTTTCACTGCTCTGCACAAGGGCTTTAATACGACACGCACGTGACCGTGTCTGCATTCGCACATGCACAGAGAGGCACTGATTAGAGCAGATGCAAGATAGCACTGGGGACTGTGGAGCAGAGAGAAGCTGCTCAGATGAAGTGATGATTAATGTGCATTCTTGAGCCTGAAGTTTATTTCTGCTTCCGTGAATCTGCAAACACACACAAAGACCCCGTGCTGACATTTGCATAGCTGTCTGCCAACACAGTTAAATATAAGGCTGGCGTGCACTAAAGAGCAGTGTTAAATTCTGTAGCTATGACGTACAGAGAATAGACGACTAGAAATTATATTATTAATGTAGTTCTGGCAACATATTATTAATAGAAACAAATATTTCATTCAGAGTGCTTCAGTCTAAGCCAGCTTGCATTCTTTTTACAGCTATAGATGATTTTTTTAACCAAAAATCCAAAGAGAAATGTAACAGAGGCATGTTTAAGCCTAAATGCAGCTGATAAAGTAGCAGAGAGCCTGAAGCCTATCCAAAAAGGTGACAAACATAAAAAAAACTTTAATAAAGCACAAATGTTCAAAGAAAGATTAAAGTAACTAGATTATTACATTTATACCAACTGAACAGAGGAAGGGCCAGGAACCTGAGAGTTATACTTCGAAGTCAGTGATTAACTCACGGTTTAAACGGGACAAATAATCTCCTGGATTAGACACAGCGACTGAGTCTGCCCTCTGTGGAGTTAATACTGATCCTTCCTTTTGTCTTTTAGGTCATGTCACATCTGCCATCAAACGTCCCCTCCCATGATCACCCAGAGAGAAACACGACCCAGTCCACACTTGTCAAACCAGGACAGAAAACCTAGTTTTCCCACTTTGAGTTTCTGCCTGCATCCCTGCATTCTCACAGCCCTCTCCCTGTGTGACATCTGGTAACTCCTTATCTGATATATGGGATGAAATATGACAGTCGGTGCCTTGAGGTGGTGCTCTCCAGGTGTACGTGAGGGAAACAGAGGGATGAATGCTCTCACAAGACTGGGCTTCTGTGAAATGCATCATTTTAGTGGTATGTGAGAAGACGACTCACTACTTAGGTTTAGTCTCAACCCTATGGTATGCTTCCTGAGTACTTTAATTCATGTGTATTTTTCTATTGGCTGATATAAATGAGATAAATCCAAAAAAAATTCGTTGAACCTCCATAAAAAGCAGCTCAGACTAATAAAATGACAACTATCAGTGTTTTTTGATTAATTAGGTAATAAATTACTTCATCTTTCTTAGATGTGTAAGGCCAGAGTTAGTTCTTGTCATCTGTCCCATAATGAATGTTTCTGAATGAAATATGTAAAAAACAATGTGTACACTCTTTTTAAACAAGACAAATGACATATAAACTATTCATAACAGCTGTTTTTATTATCATGCACTGTTATTATTATTATTATTATGTAGCAACGTGTACTTCCTCTCCGGTAGAGACAGACAGTAGTTGAATGTTTCAGAGCAGCGCTCTTCTCCAACTGCTAGCAGCTAGCTACAGTTAGCATTAGCTGCTAGCATCGGCTAGCACTACAGCATAATAACACGCAGAGAGCTAAGCTAACAGTTAGCGCTGCAATTGAACCAAGCTAAATCACTGCCACGTCTGAAAAAAAAATCACAAGAAATGTCTTTTACCTCCGCCTCGCCTTCTTCCAGACTCCTCAAACTCCACACCACGAGTCCCTGAATCAGTAAAATTATTAACGCGGCGGAAATCGCTGGTTTATATCGTCGGAGCAGCTTCAGGACCCGTACACTGGCCACCATCTTTCCGACTACCTCTGTCTGCGTGAGTTGCAGCGGCGGCGCGTGCAGGGAGCGTTCTCAGCTTAGTGTCCACGAGGGGGCGCTGTAAGGCTCTACTTCCGCTTTAATCTTTAAACCAACACTACAAGAGGAAGTAAACAAACACTGGTGAAAGGGCAGCTCTTACAAAACTAAGGAAACTATATATTACAGGTTCTTCAAATCTAAACGCCTGTTTTATATTAATGTCATTATGTAGTTTTTTTATTATTATTATCTGTGATTTATTCTAGCTTTAACAACGTTCTCAATGAGTCCACATGAAAGAAGTTTAAAACTGACTTTTAAATGATACCAAGTTCATGTATCTGAGTTAAAAAGGGGTCGGTTGTGGTGTTTAACAAATAAAAATCTGTGGATGAATATTAACCTAATTTTCCATTTAACCATGTGAAATAAAAATAAAAAATCTGTCACAGAAACTGGCATGCTTTTTTTTTTTAAATCATGAAAATCAAGAAGCTTTTTCTTTTAGAGCAAAAGTTCAAAATTATGCCATGACTTTAAAAAAGGAAGTAAATAGCTGGATGATAAATGTAATTAAGGCTTCCTATTTATTATTAGATTCCCATTATTCCAATTCACTGGCCAAGAAAAACTAAATTCTTCAGTGGATGGAAATGCCAGGTACTAACTAAAGATTGCTTCGACCACTTACCTGTAAGCAGGTTACAGAGGAAACAGGTCCAGGAGAGAGATCCAGACATCCTTCTCCTCAACACTCTCCAGCTCCTCCAGAAGTGTTCCCAGTCCAGAGAAGATAAAAAAAAAATCCCTCCATCGAGTTCTGGTTCTGCTCTGGGGCCTCTTATCAGCAGAGAATGCCCAGAAAACCTCCAAAAAGAGGCATCAAGGCTTTCTTATCATATGCCTGAACTGCCTCAACAAAGAGGCTCAAGGTCCCCCCCATGATGGAGCTCCTCACTTATTGCATTAGAGTTAGAAAAATTAGAAAGAGTTATTCGTTTTGTTCTGTTACTTGAAGATTATTATCATTGAACAAATTGTTTGAAAAAAGGGGCAGATATAATAAGATTTTTTTCTTCTTTCTGCTGCCTTTCATTTTAATTTTCTTGTATTTTTTAAAGTTTATGGATTGTTTTTGTTTTGTTTTTTAAAATGAATAAACTTTATACCATACCATCTCTCCTGTTTCTCTTTTGAGCTGAATGGATAAAGTGATCTGTAAACTTGTCCAAATGCGGCCACACATACCAGATTAAACTAAACGAATCATTTCAAATGATAGAATATGTATAACACATAAAAGTCATGTTTTCTATGGATCCATGAATACATTTTTGTCTCTTTGTCTGGGGAAATCCTCTCAGGATGGGACCTCCACGGTCTCCAGGGTAACAGGACTCAGACTGAGGCATGTTGTGAGTTAACCAGTCTGGATGGCATTAATTAAACTGCAGAGGAAGCAGCTGGGGGACTTTCAGAGCATGCAAGACTTAAATCACTCGATAAGCTTTGTCGCTATAACCTCTTTCACAGAAAAAAAACAAAAAAAAAAACAACCCAAACTATCAAAAAACTCTTGTCAGTTGGTCTGGAGAAACAAGTCTGATCTCCGCCACAGTCCATTAGGCAAACCGGAGCGACGTCACGCACTCTGGAGAGAGGGCGTCAGTGCGTAATGACGCGCCCTTTATACTCCGCGGTGGGTTCATGGACAGAGGAGAGTTTGAGAGCGCGGACCTGCAGTGCGCGCGCGTGGGCTGTCCCCTTGTCCCCGAGCCGGAGAGACACTGCGACGAGGAGCGACATAGTCCCTTCCTGCCTCTGACATGTAAGATGTTGAGGCTGGGAAGCTTTCTGAGGACCACTTTGAACACTTTACGCAGAGATGTCCACAATCGCAAGTCCGACCAGTCCGTCCTCACAGCTGACTTCAGATCAGCTCACAGTGGTCGCTGCGTCCTGTGAGTAAATCATTAAAACTAGTTAACCTGACCTGGTTACCATGGACTCTGAGTAATCCTGTCATTAAGACCTGTTTTCTAGCACTGCAATAAGAATTGTTTCATGTTTCATAGCTGATACAAGGATAGTTAATGTGATTTATACATCTTATCACTCAGAATCAACTTATTTTAATAGTTTGTTGGCTTGAAGCCATAAGGGGAGAAAAATGTTATTATTGTGTGGACAAAAGTTGCTTAAGCCTAAACTACACCTGAAAAGTCATAATACAATTTGATCTATTTATATATGATTTTTTTTTTAAGACTGATTATTTGTGACTTTCTTTCTTCTCTTCTTGTTTCAAACAGTTTCTTCTTTGGTGTTCTTTGTGATTGTCGTTGCGCTGCTGTCCATCATTTACCGCAAGGATTCTCAGTGCTGCAAACACAGCTCCTATCAGGAGCCACACGCAGATACGGTGAGCTGACAACAAAAACAACAACAACAACACCACCAGGGTAAAAAGTTTATTGTGATGAGTTTGCATTTATTATTTAAAGGTGATCTGTACGTTCAGTTCTGCAGTGCAGCAGTTCATACCACGCAGAGGGAAAGCTTCATTAACAAGTGTCAGGATGAATTTGCACAGATAAAAGGACTTAAATAGTGTTGATATATTTGTAAAGCAGTGGATTTGTCTCAGTTTGGATTAGCTGCAGAAACATGCCAGGAACTTTACTGGAAGTGGACAGAATGAACACAAGAGGCCACATTTTTTACATTACACATCTCCAGTTTCACAAATCTCCACATCTGCTACAGAGATAGATGTGTTTGAACGCCGTGACGGTGCAGGAAGTAGAGAAAAGTAAACAGTTGAGCCGTTAACTATTCACTGTGTCCATTCACTCCACTTCCTGTTCCTGACTTGTTTCTCACCTCCACGAGTCCCCAAGGAGATGTTTAGGTTTGTTATCTATAGGCTTCAGAAAAGCACTCCTCAAACAGACAGGAAGTTCTGCTCTGCAGTGTTTTGATGAGAAAGTTTGGCGCTCTTAAATCTTTCAACGTGGTGCTCTATAGGAAGGTATGAACGGTCAGTATCTTACCTGTTGTACATAGCGCTTTGTAAGCTCTCAGTTGAAAAATTTAAAAGTCTTAATTCCAACCAGACTGACAAAAAATAGAATGCAGTAATCTGAAAACCAAAATCATTTAAAAAATATCATTGATGTTCACAGTAGTTGCATGTTTAATCCCGTAAAATAGGATTTTCCTACAGGAAATGCCCCAGACGCTACAGCTAGCTGTTCTTGCTATTAAGTTTTACTAGCAAAAACCATATAATTCAGTGTAAACAACCAAAACTGACAGTGGTCTAAATGTTTATAAATCAAAGTTTACATGCAATACTTTGGATTTCTCATTTATTTATTTATTGTTTTGAGATGACAGCAAACCACTTTGATTTTGGCCCTGCTACATATTAGCTAGTGAGTCCAATCAGGATCAAACTCTGACCCTGTTCCACTCTTAATACTTTTTTATATATACTAGCTAGATATCTTGTTCTTAATGACCACACATTCTAACAAAAATGCTGAAATAGTAACGCCCACATTAACCACACACAAACCAAAAAAAAACCCCAACCAAAACTCGTTTAGTTCGGCTAAAGATTTCCCCAAAACAACCGTGACACTATTTTCAACACCATTTACAATTTCCTCTCAGTGTTTAACCCTGAGACGGGTGACGGGATCAGAACAAAGATTAGAAAAAAAACGTGAAAACAAAAACTCAAATTTTTTATTTTTCTACCTGGATTATTGAGCATGCATCAGGATATCAAGTTTTTTAGTTTCTACGACACAAAGGGCTAGTTGCATGCGCAAAACAAGCAGCTGCATCACAGTTTCTGAAAACCTCCATGTATCCTGTTCATGGATCCACTGCAAACTGTTTTTTTTAAAGTTATCTATAGTACTGTGGGTGGAGTCTTAAACTATCTACAACAGGTAAGATATTAACTGTTCATAACCTTTCCACATGACCCCACTTTAAAGGATCCAATCTGCTGTTTTAAAAGACAATTTCACTGATCTCCAACCGGACTCTTTGACCTCTGCTCTACAACCCTCCAGGGTGTGGCAGATACCGGCAGATTTTTAAACGCTGATGTCAGTGCAGAAAAGTACCCGTCCAAAAGCGTAAACACAGTCTGATGATGTCTAGTTGTGAGATAAATAGTGTTTTGTTTCTTGTTGCTCTCGTTTTGAAGCACAGGTGCAAAAAAGTTCCGCTTAAGCGGCAAACGCACACAAACTGGGTGTCGTAGATTGTTTCACAAGGGATATTCCACGTCTTCTCCTTCACAGTCACATACCTTTCTTCCCCTGCTTCGTTTTTTTTTTTTTTTTTTGGAGGAGAGACCTCACTGTGGGTGTTGGGGACACAAGAGGAACAATGAACCTCCTTTAGTTTGCAGCGATGGTGCCGCTGTTGGGATCCTCCCCCGACTTCAACACTGATTTTACACGGTTGTGCTTTTCACACTGTCAGGCGACAAAAGGACACTTCTTTTCTGTTTTGTCTTCTTTCATGAAGACGTTCTTTTGCCTCTTTTAAAGTACAAACCGACGACGGAGACGAGACCTTTGCCATCACCTTTTTGGCGCCCTCTGTTTGCCTCCGAGATGTCGTGAGGGTTGTGGCAAAGGTCACGGCTGTGTGTCATTCAAAGCGTGAGTGATGTCACCGTTTAGTGATGAAGGCGATATTTCACGTTTCTGAAGCCACTTTTGATTTTCTCTAAGCCGTATGAGCGATAACTCCTAAAACCTTTTTATGCTGGATTTACTCTCAGTCAAGCAACAAATTGATTTAGTTGCTCGGCCCACCTACGTGACATGTACGAGGCGGTAAAGTGCAGTGGAGTGTGCTGGTTAACAGGTATCTGCTGTGGCTGCACTGAAAAGACCTCCTCGGTGTGGTTTGTTGCTCGAGGACCCTGACGACACAGTTGTACATCACATTGTCCTCCTCACAAAGGACACTCATTTAGGCGCGAGGCAATTAACTGTTTTTTTTCTGGCTTCGTCTGTTTCAGGATCCCTGTGCCACATACAGTGAGACACAGACTTTTCTTGTTTTTTTTTTTAAAGGCGGCTGGGAACAGAAGGAGGGATGGAAATCAGAGGGTGGTCACGTTGTCCTCTTGTTGAAAGATAATTTATGGTATCAGTGTCCAAAAGAGATTAAACAAGGCGTGAAAATTGTCCAATTGGGCAGAAATTAGTGTTTTTTTTTTTTATCGTGGCCAGGGAAATAAGGTATTGTTGCCTTCGTTGTTGAGTTAAGAATTAAAAAGAAAGTCTGTAAACAATAAATATCTTACCTGTCGTAGATATATTTTTAACAACCTCTGCTTGGAGGAATAAAGTTTTATTCTGAGCTAACATCTAGTCTGAGGTTTCTTGGATCTGAGTTGTTTTAATGCATCAGGAATCCACTTTGGCCTCAGTCCTTCTCGGACTAAAGAACTATGTACAACAGGTAAGATGTTAACTGATATCAGCATCAGCAGAGCTTTCTGGGTGATAGCCTGAATGCTATAACCCCATGTTGAGGTGCATGCACTAAATATTTACACAATCATCAAGTGTAAAAGCACAACTTTGTCTTCTTCCCACTGTAAACACTCCATTTATTCACGATGTAGTCCGTCACCCAGGGAACACAAAACAGTGAGCGGACAAACAAGTGGACAGTTCGAACCAGTCTGAATGCAGGTACAATGCACTGTCAGCTAAAAAGTCAGATTGTACAAACCTTCACTTTAAAAGACTTGATTTTTTTGTATTAATCAAGTAATAAATACTTTCCGGTCCTTCATTTATGTAAAATTCAGAATATAATTCAAAATCTTACTTCTAACCTACAAAGCCCTCAACAACTTAGCTCCATCTTATATTACAGATCTTATTGTCTCATATTTTCCTAACAGAGCACTTCATTCTCAGACTGCAGGCTTACTTGTGGTTCCTAGAGTTTCCAAAAGCAGAATGGGAGGAAGATCTTTCAGTTATCAGGCTCCTCTCTTGTGGAACCAACTTCCAGTTTCTGTCCATGATGCTGACACATTGTCCAGTTTTAAGACTGGGATTAAGACATTCCTTGTTGATAAATCCTATAGCTGCCTTATGATTAAACTACTAGAGGACAAATTTATCTAATTTCCTTAAATGAATTTTTACAAATGAATAGTTTTCATTTTATACTATTTCTATCTTAACGTGATTCTCGACCTGCCATTGTGTATCTGTTCCTCCCTGTTCCTCTCAAACCCAGTTGAAGCAGATGACCGCGTGTCCTGAGCCTGGTTCTGCTAAAGGTTTCTTCCTCATGAGGGAGTTTTTCCTTTCCACTGTCACCTTCATGCTTGCTCAAGATGAGAGTCTGCGATGGAGTTAAACACAAAACAGTCTGCTCCTCAGATAAATTATTATTTTTAGATATGAATGTTTCTGTTCAGTGCCCTGAGACGACTTCTGTTGTGACTTGGTGCTATATAAATAAACTGAACTGAATTGAACCGAATTCATTTTCTGAATTCCTGTTTTCCAGGATGCTCCTCAATACTACAACAGCAGTCAGACCCTGGTGGGTTCTGCTTGTTTGGACCAAACTCAGATCCTTGAACACAACACCCAGGTGAGAAAACCCAGCGGTGCGGTGGAAACTTTTAGCTCAAGCAAGGCACGAGTTCTCTTCTATACAAATGAATGTATTATGTTTTTAACAAAAATCTACCCTCAGCAAATGAATCAGATCTGTTTCCTGTCACATGAGCTTTTTCTTTTTCTTCAACAGACAGGTGAGCTGTTCTACGTTGGCTTGCCATCCAGCTACAGCCTGCCCACAATGGAGGGCCCCCTGCCGAGGCTCCCCTCCTACGAGAGTGTCCGAAAAAAGGACCGGCAGAGGCAGATCCACATAATGATCGCAGACCGTTTTGGCCTCAATGGACCCATTGTGACTGAGGTAGAGTGAATGGATTCAAGAGGTTGTCACAGTTTCAAACGCTTTCACAATGCAGCTCTTCAGGGGCTCTTAGGGACATTTGTTTAACGTCTCTCCTAGCTGCAACAGAGCTGTAACCCCCAAAAAGTGGAAATTATTTGCAGTTTAACATTTAATCGATGATGCTTCTGCCATACTTGTCATAAGAGCTTGTTCAAAGAGGAGGCTGCATTCAGAGAAAAGTTCACAGGATGCACTATCAGCTCATCTAACGCTGGTTGCTGTTTTCGTGCTGGCTGAGGGCCGACCGTGTAGATCTTTCGCTGTGCTTTTGGTTCAAACGCTTGAGCAAACAAGATAATGAGAAAAAGTTGCATCAAACAAAATTAAGGCCTGAATTCATGAGTGCAAACAGAAACCAAGAATGCTGCTTTGTGCTCAGGTCTTCTGATCCTGAACCCTTCCTGTTGTGATGCACACATACACCCCTTACAACCACATGGTTTTTCAGCCAACATAAAGTATACTCACTAGTGTTTTATGTTACCAGTAGTTCAGACGAGTTCTCTGTCCTGCAGCCCAAGGCAGGAGTTAAACTTCGCTGGCTGCCTGTGTGGTGTTGGGTATCAGACAAAGGGCGGGTTGTAGGGTTGTGCTTGTTGCCTGAGGGTCCCTAAGCAATTTAAAGATAAGAAGACGCAGTCAGGGAGTGTGAACAAGCTCGATTTTATCAGGGAAATAAAAACAAAGTTCCAGCCAGCTGAAATGAGAACATATGAATGGGTAATGTAAGAACATACATGTTTGATTTATTATTTAAAACACATTTTGACGCCTCTAAGAATTTGGGATGTTCTCTAAATCCAGTTTCAGACACTGGATGAGTGACTTCAATGTGTAGCTAATTGTTTATGCACTCAGGAGCTGCATTTGATCTTTTAGATAATCACCTCTATGTTAGTTTTTCTTATAATTTTATTAGGAGAAGATGTAGATTTAGAGAGAGAAATTTTGCATAAAAATTTCCATTATTTTGTGTCAAATTTACCCTTTAACATCAATACCTTACAAATAGGCCTGTCACGATAACAAATTTTGCTGGGCGATTAATTGTCTCAGAAATTATTGCGATAAACAATAATATTGTTTGAAATTTGACAATAATTAGTAATTATTGCCAAATTTAATAAGAACAATGTTTGTGTGTAGTACCGTTTCTGACCACCAGATGGCAGTATAAGACTGTTTGAACCAAAGGATGGATAGTGAGGGAGGGAGGCCCCTTGACATGACATGGGCTGTCTCTCATTCTTGTTTTTTGGTTTTCAAAATGGCAGATGCTCGGTGTGGTTTGAGCTCTTTAGCATAGCATTTTTCTCACAAAGCTTTTAATCGAAAGTCAGTAAACAAGTTCTCTGCTTCTTTTTGCAGAGAAAAACAACATTTTACAGAAAGGCACGGGTTTCAACCGTGGATTTTGGAACGTCGACAAGACGGAGGTTTTTTTCCCGAGGTCGACCTGGTAGCTTAGCTCGTAGCTTAGCTTCTCAGCTTAGCTGCTTTTAACCATCCAAAAATGTGATTTTAGATGGTTAAAACAGATTTTAAAGAGAAAAGAGAAAGGAAGGGGTCAGTGAAGAGCACCGGAGTTGAGCCTTTTGTCGTCCAGTGTCTTCAGTAGAAAGAGAGAGACACGAAGAAACGATAAAGCCGATAAATGAAAATGAGGTCAATAATTTCATGTGTCATGCGATTTAATTGATTTATTGTTTATCGCGGCAGGCCTACTTACAAAGGGAGCTTAGTTTATCAGTTTATGAATGGTTTAAAGCAATAGTTCAGATCTTTTTTTGTGGGCTTCTGTACACGGGTTATAAACACTTTACATATCTAGTGAAGAAAACGTTTGGATCTTGACTGACAAGCTAACATCTAGTCCAAGTGAGGTCAAAAACAAGTCTTGAAAACTTTATTAAAGTTTAAGCAAATGCTATTTTTTAAACCCTTACATCGGAGTCATTTTGACATTTTTCAGCTATTTATGTTGTTATTTGTTAGCACAAATAGCAGCAACAGCAGCTATCTTTAGCACTTCAACCTTGAACCTTCCTGTGTAGTACTGGGGCACTTCCAGCAGAAATATTATAACATTTCTGCCAAAAAAATGCTAAATCAATTGGCCATTTAATAGTTTGTAAAATAGGATTGACATAAATCGCAATAAAAATTTTAGAGTGGAGGTAATTTAAGACGCTTCACTTTTGTCTTGACTTGCTCAAACTTATCCGTTAGCTCGTCAAGTTGGCTATTATCTCCTCAAGATAGCTGTTAGCTCTTCAGCTCAGTCAGAATTAAACTCTATTTTTCTAAACTGTGATCATTCACATAAGTAAAGTTCAAAAGGTCAGAGCTATTCCTTAAACCAACTGCTATTTTATGTCCATTTATTTCTGTATTTAGGATTAATTAATTAATGTTCCTTAAAAAGGCTTTTTAGTTGCCTCAGTGTGTGAGGTAACAGTTAGTTACACTGTCTGTTTTGTTTATACCACTGCTTTTCAATCCTGGTCCACGAGGGCCACCATCCTGCATATTTAGTTGTTTCCCTGCTCCTCCACAGGCCTTCAAGATCTGCAGGAGCCGTTCATCATTCCTTCAAACAAATCTGGTCTGACAAAAAAGGGAAACCACTAAAATATGCAGGATAGTGTTCCTCGAGGACCAAGATTGGCCAACACTAGACTATATAAAATATAGATACCGTAATTTCCGGTCTATAGAACGCACCTGACTATAAGCCGTGCATACTGATTTTAAAATGTAACACAATTTTGCACATAAATAAACAGTGCTGGTGTATAAGCTGCGGGAATCCACTTTGTAATATCAGAAACGATACACAGTTCCTGATCAATTTTATTTTTTTATTTATATTTTATGTTTTATATTCTCTGTTTTTTTTTCTTGTGTGATTCCTTGTGTATATTCATTTGTACTGAAACTCTGACACAACAATGCCCTGTGGGATCAATAAAGTTCTATCGTTTTATCTTAAAATGTGCAGCTCTTGTAGTTCAAGAGCCAACCACCAGATGGCGTCTAATAGATGTCCATGCAAGCTGCTTCTCTTACTCTACTTATTAACTGTCCTTCAACCTACAGAATTAACAGAAAACAACTAGACTAAGAAGAACAGACTACCGGTAATCACTAGAAACGCCTATAAATTACCATATTAAAAATTAACATACTGGTAAATTTTACTCACAATTCCTATTGTCACAGTGCCAAGGTCATGTGACCGGCAGTGACAGAATACTTAATGGTATATCGGTAAATGTTCATTAAATTACTGCCACTGATTTTTTATTGTTAAGCACATTTTGGTAAGAGCGTGCTGTTTTAAAAATGTGATTTATAAATAAATATGACGATTTTCTGCTCTGCACACGAGTCATGACTCACTGGGAGAGTGGAAACACCCCTTCCCGCTCTCTGTGAGCTTGTAACATGATTTTAAAAAAAGAGAGGGTTTTAAGCTCAATCATCCATGATATTTACGTACACAGAATTTTTAAAAACTTTTATTTAAATATGTACCGGTAACATATACAAAATACTTGACGGACTGCTTTAAAAATAAATTTGACTTGACTTCTGCTCCTCCCCCACTCCCATTCTCTTCTTCGCTCTACGTTTCATTTGTTCTGATGTGAGCTTAAAATTAGATTTTTAAACACATATTTACACAGAAAGATTTTTAAAACTTTTATTTAAATATGTACCAGTAACATATAGAAATATTCTTCATACAGTACGTCGGTAAATGTTTTTTTTCTGAACAATGCCTTTAACATGGCTGGTAAAAAATAAAAAAGAAGTACCAGTAGCCTACCAGAAATCACTCATCACTTTGTTCATCTTCCTCCTGTGCACTAAAACCATTAAAGGCGTCGTCTTCAGTGTCGGAATTGAAGAGGCTCAGTAAAACTTCATCACACACGTCCTCCTTGACGCTCTCGTCGTCACTTTCCCTGCAAGCGCCAAGTGAGACCAAGCCTCCGGCAAATGTTTCTGGCAACAGGAAGCTCCTTAGCCAAATTTAATTGGTCAAATATTTTTCTTTTTACTTTTATTTACCATAAAAAGTAGGGATGCACGATATTGGATTTTTGGCCGATATTCGATATGACGATATGTTAAAACTTGTGGCCGATACTGATATTTTATATACGTTCCTTTGTCAGAACATATTCCTCTTATTTGCTACAAAGATTGTGTAACAGCTGTAAGAGCTGGTGACATATATTCAGTAACAGCCATATGATATACATAGCACTTTAACTTATATTAAATGAAAAGTGTTGAATGTTATTTATTAGCATTAGTCACCTGTGATGCTGTTTCACTTGTGGAGGCTTGTTCCAGGTTCCTAGCTGCAGCGTGGGATCCTCTGCACTCCTGTGCATCAAGGACAGACTTTTTAAGTTCAAAGTTTTTGTCTATGCATTGTGCCGTAAGACTAATCATGCTAACGGGGCTAACACGACGTCCAAATGTCTGTGGTAAACTCACCCAAGTGCTATCGGCTATTAGCTTCTCAATGACGTCAGAAATAACGGCTTGTACCTCGAGTAAGATTACGTCGGAAAAATATCTGTGAGGGGACGATGTAGCGAGGCT